CGGGGTGAGAAGGAAGAGTGTCTGCCGCCAACCCCCCCAGCCGGGGGTGGGCAAACGGAGCCCTTAGGAGGTCGCTGGACTCCCAACCCCTTTTCGTGTGTCGTTCCAGACGTAGGTGCTGTTCTTAATGCGTGTGCAACGACCCACCGCCAAGGTGGTGGTGCACAGCTTCCTGACCTTCCCAAAGAGCCAATGAACAGGTGTATTGGGGATTTAAATAATTTTTACTGACATCACCTGCGTGGAGGCAAAGGACCAAGCTGTATAGCAGATCCCCTGAAGACGGCGGCCTCCCAGTGTTTAGTAATCTCGTGTATGATAAGGGGGAATCGGTACCTAACACGGACACGACTGGACAAATTGTCAAGGGGAACCTTTACTTTTACCTCTTGTCTCTACCCCTTCCTCCATGGGCTGGGGTTCATTATGGCCAGTTAGCTATCTATTCTAAAGTTAGGGCTGTCTGTAAGTGAACACAGGTCTTGACACCACACTAAATTAGTAGGGGCAAATCGTCCTCGTTCTGCCCACAGTTCCTCTTTGTGCTTTACATACAAAGGCCATCTGAGACCCATTGAATTTCCAAAGGCAGTGCAGGTGAGGGGATTGTTTTTTCCCAATATGGTACGGGAACTGTGTTTTGCAAGACGATGTCTTCTATAGATAATTTTCACAAGACAGTGATTTTTTCCCCCAATTGGAATGCATTAAATAGATTTTAATGCATTCCAATGGGGAACTGGGTTTCGGAAGATGATGTTTTCACAAGACAGCGATTTCCACGGAATTAATTAAAATCGTCTTGTGAGTACAGCTAATGGTGAAGGCTTCTGGGAATTTTAGTGTGAGAGCATCTGAGGACCCAAGATTGGGATATGTCCATAAATTCCACTCTGTATGTAGAGGCTTGAACAAAGACAAGGGCTTCTTAATAGCATATACCAGAGCATTTATTCAGTTTACTTTGATTATTATTATTAATTTATATAGCGGAATTAGTGCATATAACTCCATATAGAAAAATTAAACAAGAATCAGAAAGATGTGCCCCAAGGGATGTGCAATCTATTACACAAAATAGAAATAGGAGGGGGGTAATAATAAAATACAAACTAACAAGTAATTTAAAACAATTCAAATAAAAATGAAATAATAAACTCAGAACTGAAAAATCTCAGAAAAGAGAGAGGTTTACAAAAGAGATTTAAACACTGGCTAGTATCTTGTTGTTTAAATGCAGAGCAGAAGGAACATTGTTTGAGCATCCTGCTGCTCTGGCAGATTCCCTGTTACATGCCTTTTCTTGCGTGATTTGCCATATCTGTCCTGTCACTGGTTACACAACAGGCCACTACCCTGGGCGGGAAGGATGCTTATGGAATTTCCTTTCCACTCTGGGTTTAGGCAATAGGATACTAGACATTGAGTGAGGAGGAGACCACAAAGGTTTAGGAAGATGGTTCCAAGTCTATGGAGCAGCAAAAAAGAGAGGACAAAGGCACGCGAAATAGCAGGAAACCTTGAAATAAGTAAGAGGCGCAGAATTAGAATAAAGGATAGAAAGACTGGGATTCTGGCACTTTATAGTGAAACACATGTAAGTGTCAGAAGATCTGTCACTGAAGAAATTCTATGCAATGTGCTGAGTCAAATATTTGACATGCTGGTTTACTCTGGTGGATATACAGTACTACAAAGTCCATTGTCTTGCAAGGTCCGGTGTGTATAGGAGTTAAGTGATGATAGTATAAACAGATTATTACTGGCATAAGGGAGGGAAAGCACATTTCCTTGGCAAGACCAACCCTACTTGTCTACTTCCTTCAGAACTATCTGGAGAGGATCTGATAAGACTCTGCCACTTTCCAGAGGTCAGAAGGCACTGGCTTCTCCTTCACTTCAGCAGGCAGGGACAAAGCTAGGCATGTCTTCTCCACATCACACAGGAAACTATGTACTGGCGTGTGTTCAATAGAACACAAATGCAGGAAGAATATCAGGTTAGTTAAAACCTAATGAAGGTTTGCTGAGATATATTCAGTTAATTACATAGTCTTGTAAGCGTGATAATGGCTTCACAGCAAAGGCAGCAGCCTATGAAAGTGGCTGACATCCTCTTGACAAATGGAAAAAACAGGGAGGCATCTCTTCAGGCTGCACACTGGTCCCTGGATGGGATCCTGCAGGGAGGGTCATAAACTCAGAGCAGCTGAGATATATTGATTTTACTCATCCTGCCTTCATCTCGAATTGTGGACCCCTGCTTTTCTTATTGTAAATGTAGCCTTTCAGGTACAGGAGATCTGCAGGTCCCATCAGCCCTGATCACGGGCCAAATTGTGCCATTTTCTTGTCACTTCCGATTGTTAGTTGATGTGCTACCTGATGGTAGGGTTGCCAGATACATGGGTATAAAAAGGAGGACGTAAGACAAAAAGAGGACAGAGGCGGACTAATGAATGTTTCATTTGAATCATTCCCGATCAAACCTGCAATCAATACAATTTTATTACAATAGCTGCCAATAAATGTATCTTAGTCAACCGACCAAGAAACAGTCATGTTAATAAATTCAATGGAGGTTTTTTCAAAATAACAAAAAATATTATTTAAACAGACGGTTGTAGCCAAACCCACCCTAGCCCAGCTACGAGATACCCCGGCTACTTGCATTCTGCACAGGCTCAGAGGCAACCTTGCTAATTTGGATGTCCAAACAAGGCTCCCGCGCAGGCAGGGGGAAAGCGGCGCCGGGCAAAACTGAATGAGGCAGCCTCCCCTCCCCCAAGGGTCATAAGTTCGAGGCTGGGGAGTGTGGGAGTTGGAGTCTTCGAAAGGGACTTTGAATACAAACACTCCTGCTGCTCGCCTTCCCATTGATGCGCTCAGGCGCTGCTTGTTCCTGCCTGGCTCGGTGGGCGGTGCTCTGCTCGCGCTGCCTTTCTGGGTTCCACGTGGGCTGGGCGGCCATGGTGGATCGCCAAGCAAGCGGGAGGGGGCGAGGACTGCGCTTTGGCGCTGGCTGCAGGTAACGGGGGGGTGGGGGTAAGACAGGGGGAGGGGGGGCTTCCACCTCTTCCCCCTCCCATCCAAAATTATAAAATATACAAAAGCCTGACATTTAAAGGTTTTTATCTTTGCCTGCCGGACAGAGGACATTAGGCTCCCATCAGGTAGGGTTGCCTGACGTCTGGGAACCCTCCCTGATGGGATGTGTCACTTGATAAATGGAGGGCAGCATTAAAAAGGATTCGAATTACTCAAAAACTAGGAGAAAAAAAACAACTGTAAGCCACCAGGGACATTAGCAAGTCTTCTGGTCTTAGTCTCTAGTCGGAATCCAAAGCTTTAAGTCCAGGTCCTGGGTTGATGGCCCCAAGGGAGGCAAGCCTGGACAGCAGGCCCAGAAGGGAAGCCAGGACTGACCACATGTGCAGAAGCAGTGAGAGCCAGCCCTGTCTCTGCACATGTGCAGACTGTCAGCTAGGCTGCAGCTGCATGGGCAGAGGCAGCAGGCCTGGCTTCCCTTCTAGGCCTGCCGTCTGCACTGCAAAGGGGATTTACACATGGTGGGTGGTGAGGACCTGAGCTGCTGCCAAGTGTGGGCCCAGCAGACCCACCAGCTACCCCGAAGGTGGGTGTTCTGTCTTGGGGAGAGGGAGCCTGGCCAAAAGCGGCAGTCCCTCCGCATCCACCCTCAGGCGGCTGCTGCTCTGGTTGGGGCTGCAGATCTTCACAAGAGACCCACCTCCCCTCCTCGCTTCCAGAAGGCAAGGCCAATGTTGCCGAGGCAGCAGGACCCCTTCACCAGCAGAGCCTTTCCAGGGGTCAGAAAGCCCCTGAGGGTGGGCCCTCCGTCCTGCCAGTGCCCACCTGCTATGAGGCGGCCCCCTTCCACTCTGCCTCACCTGAGCTTCTGGCTGGCAGACCGGCTGTTGCCGCTGCGCCCACCATGTGTTGGCTGGTGGGCCCACCTTCCCCAGGGCAGGAGGTGCTTTTCCAACATGACAGCTCCGGACTGGGTGCCCAGGTGGTGACCGTTCTTCTCAGGGGAGTGAGCGGGCGGTAGGCAACAGGGATAGCAAAAAAGCAGGGCCGGAAGGGGGAGCTGTTGTTCCCTGTCCTGCTGCTCCTGCCTCCCTCCTTCCTCAGCTGCCATGGAGGCACGTATACAGTGGGGCAGCTTCCCCTTCCTGGAGCCAGCGCCTGCCTCTGCACCTGCCTCTCAGCTGGGTCGCAAGTGCGTGGGCAGAGAGGCAGCAGGCCTAGCTCTGGGAAGGGGAAGCCGACCTGCCGCCTCTGAGGACGGTGGCGGTGGCAGGAGAAGGGGCAGGTAGGGAGGCCCATTCTTCCTAGGGACCCAACTACAGGACTCAAGACAAATGGGTGACCGAGTCTTTAGAACGACAAAAAACCAGTGCACCTGAAGTGGAGCTTTACAGTGACTCACACAAGTTGCAAGTCCCCCTCCCTGTGAGCCACACAAAAGGGGGCGATGATTACAACAGAGAGGCTGTCAGGCAAGGGCACATTGGTAAACTGTTGTGGAGAAAAAATTATGAAAGGAAAAGTAAGCAATTTAGAAATGGATGAGGCGCAAATTGGGGTACGTGCCTGCATGTTTTTTTTTTCCCCAATTGAAATACTGTATATCAGTGGGTTTTAAAATGAACTTCTAAAGAAATTTGAACATTTTCAAATTTGAAAGGCTCATTTCAATAGTATATTCTTATAAAAGTGAGTGATTGCTTTTTCAAATTATTATTCTAATGCGTGATTATCAAAATGTGGGCATGATTGCTCCTTAACACATTCTGAGAGGGATCAGATGAAGC